ATGAACATATTGTGTTGATCCAGAGCACTTACATGGCGCAATCAACACATCATCGTCGCCGAGACAAATACGGCAGATTTTATCTGAATTTTTTTGAGACGTTGTTTCACAATTTATTTCGTATTCTTTTTTGATATCAATAATGTTTTCCGTTTTTAATTCATTGTAATTATTGCAACTGTAATTCATTAAATTAGATTCACTGCGTCCTTTAGCTATATTAAATTTATCTGTATTAGCAGATATATCATGGCAGCTTCTGCTAACTTTTGACACCATTGAATCGTCGATAATATATATATATATTTTTTTTACTAACCAACTAGAGACACCTGCTACTGAAAGTTAGTTGCCACTCAGCCGAAACTGAACAGCGCCAACTTAATGGTTTATCTCCGTTTAACATCCGGAGTGGACAGATCGCCTTAAGATTTCCGGACGTAGAAGGAGACATTGAAAAAGCGACAATGCCAAGAACCTCTATCGACTGTTACGGTTTCGATCTTGTGTTGTTTCTGCTTTATAACAACACCGTAACCAATTGTGAGACGGTCCAGAGCCGAAATAAGAACAGATACTACACTTTATCTTAGCCAAAAGGCCGAGAAGCGAATAATTTCTTATTACACAGGTATTAAATATTTTAAGTACCCTACCGGCACATCTAGTTTCTTTTTCGGAATTAAAACCTGTATAGACACGTGTTTGTCACGATCCAGGCGTAAATCAAAAACACGTATTTTTTAAGGTTTTCTAGTCAAATTCTTTTAAAGCCAAGTTCTAGGCCGAAACCTAGATATGCCTATAGGGGGGTTAACAGTGGTTTAACGTCTCTTATAGACGGACGGAATCAAACACACAACTAAAACTCCTGCGCCAGCGCAACTCAGTAAACGTCACCCAAACAACAATGCCTCACTAATACTAGACTTCAGCGGCAACTGCCCTTTAATTAACCGCCTCCGTCGTTCGGCACGCTTTTTGAATGATGCCTACTTTATTACACAGGGACTAAAAAGTTTTAAGACAGGTGTTGTTTGTCTCTATGACGTAAAAAGTCATAAAAATAGAGACTTTATACTTTTAAAAATAGAGACTTTATACTTTTATGTCTTAAAAATAGAGACTTTATACTTTTGGTCTTAAAAATAGAGAAAGTTTCAATTTCTATTGGTGCGCTTTTTAAAAAAAACTTTGAAAAAAAATCTCAAAATCAATTTATTCGGACTTATCGCGTTTTGCAAAAGGGCTTCTCAAGTTAAGTTTATTTGATTTTTTTGTTTGTATTTTACCCTAGATTCTTGTTTTCATTTTTTAAAAAGTTTTTTGTAAGCAAGTTGTTTTGAAAAATGTTTTTTTTTTATTTGAGTCTATTTTCATGATCTTTATACGAAATATTTGAGCATCTGTTGCGAAGTGGTTAGAGTTCTTGCTCAGAACCCAGAGTTCTGAGGTTCGATGCCGGCTATAGCCCAACAACGACATTGGTACGGAAGGAGGCGTGAACCTCTAGTTAAATGCTCTCCCGCGGTTCTCCGTGATGAGACCGTAGGGACTTGGGAGCACCTAAATAACCTGAAAAAAAAAAAGGAGTGCGGCTCTTCTCTTGTTTAAGTTTTATAAATATTTTGTCTAACCTGTTTAATATTTAAAAATCACTGATTTAAAAGCTTGAAAACTTGATCTAGTCAAGTCTCAATATTGAATTTGCCTATTTTTACAGAATTTTGAATATATCTAAGCTGGTCAGTTAGTAATTTAATAATATATTTTATATTGTCTTAGGAATAAGAGAATGATAAATATCAATTTTTACAACAATATTGACTGGAAAACATTTTTTACGGAAAAAAATGACTTTAATTGATTTTAAAATTTAAATTTTCTTTTCATACCATATCGAACAATTTCCTCATATGTCAACACTTTCGTCACTATTTAACTAGGGCAAGTACAATCGAAGAAAGTTACGCAAACAAACCTAGTTTGGCTACGCTTCTTTCCCCCTTCACAATTTAAATCTTAATTCGTAGTAAATATTTTTATTAATATTATTAACATTGAATAACCAATAGCAGTGAATTTACCTCTACCAATATAAAAACACATAATATATCAGGTCTAACATCTCAGCGGGTATTTGGTCCAGAATTTCGCCTTTTTCAGACAAAATGACAGCTGGGATATAGTTCAGTATAAAAACAATATCAATAAACAAATCAATCATAAATTAATAATAGGCAACGTTCTTAGATAATACAGTTTACAAAAATGCTGTTCATTTTGATTGTTGAGAAAATTTCTTGATAGTCTTATCTAAAATAAAAACAATTCAGTTACATCCCGGTAATTTGAACTCCGTTTAACTCGTACTTTCATAAGGTCTCTTAAAAGCAGAAGCACTAAAGTCAAACATTCGTTTCGTGGATCCGCCTTTTTTTCGGTCCCTTGGAGATTTGAGTTACCGGGATTAAACTGCAATAGTTATCATGTTTTAAAATGCAAAGATATATTAGCTAAATTAATAAAAGACAACATTTATTCTTAAATAATACAGTTTGCAAAAATGCTGTTCGCATTGATTGCCGAGAAAATTTCTTAATAGTCCTTATCTAAAATAATAAAAATTCAGTTACATCCTGGTAATTTGAACTCCGTTTAACTTGTACTTTCAATAGGTCTGTTAAAAGCAGAAGCACTGAAGCTAAACATTCGTTTATTGGATCTGCTTTTTTTTTTGGTTCCTTGAAGGTTTGAGTAACTAGGGTTTAACTGCAATAATTATTATGTTTCAAAATGCAAAGATATATTAGCTTATATATAAAAAAAAAAAAAAAAAATGCTAAGATATATTTGCTCATGTATAGGAAAAATGCAAAGACATATCAGCTCATATATGGAAAAAAAATCGAATGGTATATTAGCTCATATATAGAAAAAAAAAACGAATAGGTAAGAAAAATAATAAAAACAATTAAATGAATAAATGTTTAATAGAAAATAAATATCTGGTTCAATTAAGGGTCCCTCGTAGTCAATCAACTTTCTCTCCCTATTTTAAATTTTTAAGATACGTCATAAATTTTACTGCTCTAAATAAGCTATCGATCATTAACTTATAAACGACGTAATTAAATCTTTTTTATATAATTACGTCATTGATTTTGCCTACCTAAATGCTCAATTTATAGCATAACCAAGATATACGATGAACTACTTAAAAAAATCATTAAAAATTGTTTCAGAAATATAAAAACAAAAAATTTATAAGAGGCAAAAATCATATATCTTCTATTATTTTTTTAAATATTTAATTTTAATGCTTCTTTAATACATTAAAGAAAATGTTGTTTCGAACTCTATATGAAATTCTGTTCATATAGATGATATAGATTAACTTAATAACATAAATTCTTATAAACTAATTTGCTGACATAAATCGTTATTATTTTTTTAAGGCAATATACAAGTTTTAAATCTTTGAGCAAAAGAATAGTTTTTTAACATAAATGTTTGCTTTTTTTTTTTTTTTTTTTTTTTTTTCGTAAACATTTCTCTAATGTTAAAATTACCACTAACAAGCTTTATTAAAAACCGCATTGAAAAGTTTTTATAAAAACAATAGAGAAATTTACGATAGCAATATTTTTGCTCCCGTAAATTTTTTGCTCACGTCAATAGGCATTTTAATAGATTTCGTGCTAATCTAAGTATGCTATTATACATATATATACCAGGTATATCGGTATGAAAGGAGCGTTTTTTGTGAAAATAAAACACTAATTATTAATGGGAAAGTATAAAACATTTTATTCAAAGTATTGGCCATTGTTTTCTACACATTTTGACCACCTTTCTGGCAATTTGTGGATACCACGCCAATAAAATTGTTCGTTTTTTAAAGCAAACCAACCAGACACCCAATTTTCGACCTCCTCGTAGGAATCAAAGTGCTGCTCAGCCAATGCGTGTCCTATCGATGAAAACAAATGATAGTCGGAAGGAGCCAAGTCTGGTAAATACGGCGGGTGGGGTAGCAGCTCCCAGCCGAGTGTTTTGATTGTATCCTGAACTGGTTTTGCTTTGTGTGCAGGTGCATTGTCATGGAGCAAAATTACCTTGCCGTGTCTTCTGGCCCATTCTGGTCGTTTCTCGATCAATGCATGGTTCAAATTGATCATTTGTTGTCGGTAGCGATCAGTATTGACGATTTCACCAGGTTTTAGGAGCTCGTGGAACACCACACCTTTCTGGTCCCACCAAACACACAGCATTGTCTTCTTGCCGAATCGATCTGGTTTTGCAGTCGATGTTGATGGTTGTCCCGGATTAACCCATGATTTTTTCCGTTTAGGATTCTTAAAATAAATCCATTTTTCATCGCCAGTAAATATCCGATGCAAAACCGATTTTCTTTCGTGTCTTCGAAGCAAAATTTCACAAGTGTTTTTTCGGTTTTCCATCTGTCTTTCATTCAATTCATGTGGCACCCATTTTCCACACTTTTGGATCTTTCCCATAGCTTCTAAACGGTCAGAAATTGTTTGTTGTGCAACATTTAACATTTTTGCCATTTGCTTTTGACTCAAAGTGTCATCTCCATCCAATATCGTTTGCAATTCGGCGTCTTCAAACTTTTTTGGTGGTCTTCCACGTTCTTCATTTCTCACATCAAAATCATTATTTCTGAACCGTTGAAACCATCTTTTGCATGTTGCTTCTGATAGAGCATGATCACCATATGTCTCGACAAGCATTCGATGCGACTCTGCAGCACTTTTCTTCAAATGAAAACAAAAAATTAATGCTTTCCGCAAATCATCACTTTCCGGTACCAAAATCGACATTTTTAACACGATGAAAAAATATGATGTTGTCTGTTCAATGACTTGATGTATGCTAAATATGTTTCACAGATGTCATAGCAAACAAACAAACAAAAAATAAAGGCTCGTTCACAACAAATGTTTCCTATCGAGACATTTGTATCTTGACCCTCACTTCATACCGGTATACCTGGTATATATATGATCTTTTGTTTTTTTCTGGTGTGCAATTTTTTAAGCAGTTGTTTTAATTAATTGGCTTACTATTGATATATTTGCATTTTTTTAGCCACTTATAAAAAGTTGTGCAAGCCTCGTGATGACCATGGTGGCCATTATGGATGCAGCTTTGAAGGAGATAAAGTCTGCAATGTTGGTTGGGAAGGAAAAAACTGTCTAAAAAGTAGTAATCTTTAGATATTATTTTATTGTTTTATGTATTAAAAAAAAAAATAGTCATCTGATTTTTGCAACAGATGTTGACGATTGTTTGTCAAATCCCTGCCTAAATAATGGTTCGTGTATTGATCTGCATGCAAATTATGAGTGTGTATGTCCTGGAGAATTTGGTGGAAAGCAATGTGAAATTGGTTAGCTTTATTTACATTTATGACAGAAAAACCTGTAACTTGATTTTTAATTATCGTGTCTTTTTAAATGCAATCTATTACAAGTGTCACCTCATAATATATAATGAAAGTTTACAAAATAATCTAAGAAAAATTTGTTGAATCAACAGTTGAAACATTAAAGACTCTGCAAATTTGCTCCCCCTTATTATGTGACATAATTTATGGATGACTCCTCAAATGTCATATAATTTGTGGAGTCGTCCAAAAATTATAAAATAAATACAGAAATTATAAAATAGTATATTTATTTCAAATCAAGTGTCTTCAGAGGTTCTGTCAGTTTAGTTCCATAAAATTTTTTTACAACTTTGTATGAAACTATAAGAGTGCAAAAAGTATATAAAATTATAAAAATAAAATTTTTATGTATTGAAATTTGTTAATTTGTTAACTAAAAGCAGAAAATTTCGTATTTAAAAATCACCAAAAAAAAAATTAGGGATAAAGTTATAAATTTCTTGCATAATTTGGGGGAGGGGGGAGGGGGCAAAATCCAAAGCTGTCAAAAAGATGCATAAAATAATTTATGGACAACTTCTTAGTTTCTCACTGTTTTGTTTTGAATTATCTGTTAACCGGTTTATCTGATAATTAAATTAAAAAAAAAAAATTATTTTCCACTGAATTATGTTTTACAGTTAAAAAAATGACTTATTAAACCCAATTGAACTGTTAGCTCATAAAGTTAACAGTTTAATAGAGTTTTAATTTAGGGGATTTTTTTTTGAAAAAATTTAAGATTAAAATTTGAGTGAATTCTTTTTGTTCCTAAATTTTTTTTATTTCTAGTTTAGTAAGGCTTTATGAATTTTATTTCTAGTTTAGTAAGGCTTTATGAAGCTCTACCTAACACACTTGTAAATGTTTTACTAAAATACTTTTAAAAAATCTTCATGATTTATTAAAACATCTAGAAAAAGCTTGTTTGATTAAATATTTTTCATAAGTTTGTCATCATTGTTCAGAATTCATATGAATAAAATAAACTTTTTAGTTTAATTGATTTTTTTGATTGCTTGACACATAATTTTAACAGTCCCAAAAATTCTTGGAAAATAATTAGTATTAGTAAAAATGTTGTAATAATTTGTTGTATTGGTCAATAGTTTTATCTAGTGATGTGTTTAAAATAAAATTTAACTTGCTATTAAACATGAATTTTTTTTAAACACAATTTTTTTTTTGCTTTTTTAAGTTTATATTTTTTTGAAAAGTAAAGCAGATTAATTTAATCAATCATCTATTTACTTACACAATTAGTTTAATGCTTGGTTTACATTTTGAAATGTTACTTGTAGATTTTCGCAATGAGCCATGCAAAAATAAAGGGATCATGTTACCTGACAATACATGCAAGTAAGTACATTGTACTGTTTTGATTTTTTATATTATTATGTTTCATATTACTTTTGTATTTTTCATTTCTTAAAATAAACGACACGTTTTCGCTTTAATTAAGTTAATATATATATATATATATATATATATATATATATATATATATATATATATATATATATATATATATATATAACTTAATTAAAGCGAATATATATCAGTTGTTTAATATACATTAGGTGAACAAACAAAATATTTAAGTACCAAAATTTTTTAGCAAAAGGTTGTAATAATTTTTTAGGTGTCGTCTTGGCTACAAGGGTAATAAATGCGAAGTTTGCATTCCTCATCACCTCTGTGCTGATCATGGGACTTGTAAAAGCCCTCACACTTGTAATGATTTATGTATACCTGGTGGTTGGGTTGGTCAATTCTGTGAAATAGGTAAGCATTTTATTTCTAAAGTGAGTACTCATTGTAATAAAAGACTCATTGTAATAGAATTTGGTGTGTAAAAAAGTGAACATTATTAATGCTTTATTCATAATGCTTTTTTATATTTGAATTTCATGTTATGTATTCATATAAATGAGTTTTTTCCGAAAATTTCCGGAAATTTGGTTAAAAACATCTTTAAGTTTCTGAAAATTTCCGAATTTTTTTTTGATATTGTGAGCATGATATTTAAGTGATATAACAAATTAGTCTAATGTTTCCTTGATTGAAACTTTAAAGTTTTCTTTACTTTATCAGTTATATAATGAAAGGGTTGAAGAAATAGTTCAGACACAATTTAAAAATAGATAGTTGCATTCATAAACCTCCAAAGTTATTTATTAATATTTTTTATTAATAAAATAAAAGAATGTTTTAATAGTTAATGCTTTTCTATTAGTTTTAGGTTTTTAATTTGCTTTAAGTTTTTTTTTTTTAACTATATTTTATCGTAAATATTTATTATTTGCAGAACAAGATGGATGTAGTCATAATAGAGGAAAGAGATTTTGTTCCAGTAAAGGGATATGTGTAACTGATCAAAAGATGCTTGTTTCTGGACAAGGCTGGAAGTGTTTATGTTATGAAGGATGGACTGGTAAACACTGTGAAAGAAGTATGCTGATTAGTCTTTGCTATATGTTTTTAGTTTAGAAAAATTATTTAAAAATTAATTTAAAAAATAAAGGATGAACTGTAATCGTAAACCTGGACAGTGGTGCTAGGTATTCTAAGTTTTTGTAAAGAAAGTTTAAACCAACTACAGATATAAATTGGGTAACTGCCAATTTTTTTTAATTTTTATTGTTTTAATTTTTCTTTAAGTTTTTAATTAAAAAATTAATAATAAATTAGGGTTTGGCCATATGGGTCAATGGGATAATGTGAGTCTAATTGACATTTATCAGTTTTAAAATGTTTTTCAAATGTAATGTTTTAAAATAAAATATTTTTGTTGGCAACAAGGTATTTGCGGTTTTAAAGTTTGTTTTTATTATATATATTTTTTAAAACAAATTTAATTTTTAGGTTTGTTTTAGAAAAAAGATTATTTTGCTATATTTATTGCTATATAACTTTTTTAAAATTTAAAAAAAAATTTTTTTTTTTTAAATTTTAAAAATGTTTGAACAAACTTATATTCTATACAACAAATCTTTGAATGATGTAGTTCTTTAGAGAAATAAAGAGATACATGTAGGGTAGGTCGTGGCTAATTATGCAATTTTTACATAATAAAACGAGGTAACAGATCTCTTGAACAGTGCATTGAGTTTACTAAATTTTTTTACTATTTGAAAGATAATTTAATCTGCAAGAAATTGGTCAAGAAAAAAAAATATGTTTTCAGATTTGTTTGAGAAAATATTACTTAAAGTTTACCAAGCTGCTCAATCTGCCCCAGCAGGGTAAGTTAAGCAGCTTTGTGAGGTAAGTTGAGCATTAAACAAATTATTGTGTTACCATGATCACTATTAACTCTGTTAGTCAACCTGTATGCACCATTGATATAAATTAAATATATTCTTTAAATCTCAAAAAAAAAAACACATTAGAATAGGGATATAAAATTAATAATTTTGACACAAAAATTAACTAAAAAAAAGTCAATTATTTTTCTTAAAACACAGCATTTTCAAAAAAATTCAAAACAATACTTCATGAACAAAATATGAATTATTTACAGATAAAAAATATCAGTGCATATTTTGCAATTAATGCTAGCTTTCACATGCATGTAAATCACATTTTGTGTGAGACCATTGCTTGCAATCTTGACTCTGGAGCCAGTTTTCTTCATGTAGACTTTCAGAATAAGTTTCCAAACATATAGACAAGCATAATCACTGCACTTGTCTTTAAATTTTCTTTCTTAATTTTTTTTTGTATGTTTGTTTGTTTAATATACTAGGTAACAGTCTCTTTATTACCATGATCTCTAAAAGATCAAGGGGCAGATAATTTTTTTTTTTTTTATTAGCTTTTTTAATTTTGTTAATTTGTTGCTGTTTCAATAAATTTCTTTCAGGGTTTAGAATAACTGCTTTTCTTCTTTGTCCAAATGATTTTATTTTTCTTGAGGCTTCTTTTGATTAAGAAAAAGCATCTGGAACTTTTAGGAATAAGTAACATTTCTTACTAATTATCTTTAACATATTGACCAGAAGATAATGTTAAATGTGCTTTAGAATCGGATTGGTATGATAGCTCCGATACAAGATTTGTTGGTTCTATACGGTCTGTGACAAATGATAGCAAAAAATCATCCTCAGCATTGATGTTTGCATAGTATCATGGTTAGATACCAGTACCTTTTTCCCCAGAAGTCATAGCACCAACATTTCTCTTGACTTTTGCAGCCGCAATTTTACTAGGTTTTATCACTGTAGATACTCCAGTTTCATCAACATTATATTTGTGAAGCACTGAATTTGTATGCATCCATAACCTCACCTAACTTATCATAAAACACTCTTAGATTTCCTGTGTTAAATAATGTTACTCTCCCATGGCTAAATGCTTCAGGTTTCCTAATAGATAATTCAGGGTTTCTTTTCAAAAAAGTCTATCCATTCTTTACCAACCATCTTATTTACAGTCCAAGATTCAGATATTTTTACTTCGTATTTAACAGCACACTCATAGACAAGACAACATAAATATTTTGGAGTTTTATTCATAAAATATGAATGCCATTTGCAGTAAATAGTTTTTTAAGGAATTTTTTTGTTCTTGGGAAAATATTAGCCTAGGTTTTGAATAATTAAAAGATGGGTTACTAAACTTGTTTTTTCTTCTAAAACAGATCTTGCTGCATCATTTGATTGTAAAAACACCATTTGATGTTTTCCTTTTATAATTTGATGTTTTTCTCTTATAATTTGATGTTTTTCTCTTATAATTATGCATTCTGTAATACATATTTATATATTACAGAAACACTAACAATGTAATATTATAGATACACACACAAACACACAGATATATCTGTGTGTATCTATTCATATTACATGTTAAAGTTTAAAGTTTTTCTTTTATATGTTAAACTAATAATAAGAAATATAATCTGCAGTGAGATGCATGTGTGTTTTTTTGTATAATTCAGCTTTGAGTACAAATAGTTAAGTGTTTCTGTAATATAACACATATCATAGTTATATATTAATATAACACTAATATAACACGTATCATAGTTATATATTAACATAACACATAGTTATATATTAATAGTAAGTTATTTAGTTTATAAAATTTATTAAATCCATCTATAAATAAGTCTTACTTAGTGTATATAAATAAATAATATTTAATAAAAAGTGTATAATATTATCATTACAAAACTAAGCAAACAAATAACATGAAATCAAATTTTAATTTTTAGTTTTTTTGATTTATATTTTTATGACTATATAATAATAAAGCAAAATTATTTAAAAATATAGCAAATATAAAAAAAAATTTCAATTGTATTAACATTATAAAAAAGAAATTGAACTTTTTAATATTTAAAAGATATTTTTAAATATTAAAAAGTTAAAGATATTTTTAATAATTATTAAAAAAGAATCTTTATATAACAAAGTCATTTCTTTGTATTAGTGCTGTTTGATTTTTTTTTTCAAATCTGCTCAATTTACTTGATTAGACAAGGTGTCACTTAAGTTTATAAAGAAAATGATATGATTTAGGAAAAAATAATAATCAAGAGCCTGATAAATGGTTAAAATATCAACCCTTAAGTGATGCCAGATGATTTTTTTTTTAACGTAAGAGTAAAAAATAAGCAAAAAAAAGAAAAGAGAAAAATAGCAAAAAGAATTTTTTTTTTTGACTTTTTCTGCCCGAAATCGCAAAAGTGCTCCTGCATCTCACTCCTGCATCTCACTCCATTGCCAACTACAACCATTTATTGTGCATTGTATTACCATTCTAAATACCTATCTTTCAACCATTAGATGTTTTGTCGTGCAATTCGTAGTTTTTGAGATTTTAATTGTCCAACTTGCCCCTATGCTCAACTTGCCAACCTATCTATATTGCCAATCTATCCTATATAACATGTCTGAATATTTTTAACAACTTTTTACACTATGCAATAATTCTAATTTAGAGATACATATATGTGACAAGAGATCACCTTGTCAAAATGGAGGCACTTGTTTGAAATCTGGAAAGCATTTTAATGATGATCAAATTTATAGTTGCAGGTGTCCTTTAGGATTTTCTGGAAAAACCTGTGAAGTTGGTGAGTTACTTTACCTTAAACCAAATATATTTAATTGTACATATTTTTTCTATCGTTTCCAATATCTAATTTAATGAGAGTTTAATGTTTTTCAAAAATGAAAATAAAAAAATTTAAAATGTTACTTTAGTAATATTAGTAAAAGTATTTTTTATTTTATTGTATGGTAACATCCTTTGTTGTTAGCTAATGCTGTGAAGCTTAGTTGTTTGTAAACACTACATCCTTTTTGCTTGAACATTTTAAACAAATTTATACACTTTACCAATTCTTATTTAAAGATAAATGTTTGTGAAAAGCTATCACCTTGCCAAATTGGAGGCACTTGTTTGAATATTGGAAAACATTTTAATGATAATCTGACATATGAGTGTCAATGTCCTATAGGGTTTTCTGGCAAAAATTGTGATATTGGTAAGTTACTTAATAGTTTGTTTTATTGCCCTTCAAACAAAGTTGTTATTAAAGAATATTTTGGTTATTTTTTTTTATTTCAAAAATCATTAGTAAGAACATAGTAATACAAATATCATTCAGAACTAAAATAAAACTTGATTGATATAGGTGAACCAATACTAGTAAAGAAAAGTATTCAAGAATATATTTATCTGTGCCAACTTAATTTTAGAATATTGTTTTGTTAAACATTAAACAAGTTTTTACAAATCTTCATTTAGATATGCATGTATGCAATAAGCAATCACCTTGTCAAAATGGCGGCACTTGTTTGAAATCTGGAAAACATTTTAATAGCGATCAGATTTATGATTGCGGATGTCCTCTGGGAAAAACTGTGAAATTGGTAAGTTATTTTTACTTTCCCACAAACCAAATACCACAAAAAAAATATACTTTAAATGGTATATTTTTTATTATATTTTTTCAATATTGAGGCGATGTTTTTCAACATTTTATTAAAAATTTAATTCAAGAAAGAAATTTAACTTAATTAGTTGTTGTTTTTTTTAAAATCATTTTTATCAGTGTTAAATTTTTAACACTAATCAAAATGATAAAAATAAAAAGTAATTTTTGTTTTATGCTATATAAATTTTTTATAGCTTCTATCAAGTACAAGCAATGTAAGTACAAGGAAATGTGGTACATTCACAATGATACTTGGGAAGATACCTGCAATGTTTGCAGATGTGATGACGGAGTTGCAACATGTACAGATGCATGGTGTGGTCTTCCAAATTGTTATCAAGTTAAAGATCCTAAATGTAAATGCAAGTTTGTAGAAGAGTCTCATTGTATCACCCCTCCTTGTTTGCCTTGGGGTATATGTAATGCACAAACTATACCAGTATTATATATGGGCTGCTTCACTGAATTTAATGCAGAATTGGCAAAGAACTGTGCCAAAGTCATCTTTTTTTTTAATGTTAGAATGCTTCCGAGGGTAACAATCTTTTTTAGATGCCATGAAGTACAAATAAAATAATATTAACAAGTATTTTAAATATTTTTAAATCTTGTTTGCAGGGAATTTTATTAGAAGAATTATGTCAACAGTTTCACATTTATAAAAGGGTTCAAAGTTTATTTATTTCCAATGAAGTTACTTTGCAGTGTTCTCATGTTCGCTTTAACTCTTCCTTGAATCAGTTAATTGTTAATATATATAACAAACAAAAAGCAGTTCAGCTATCTTCAGAGATTGCAAAGTACAAACACACACTTGTCGAACAATTTGAAAATTTTAAATGGCACGCGCCGCCTACATTAGTTCTTTTTTTTGTATATACAAGCATTGAAAGACCTTCTACTATGCATAGCTTCTTAAAAGAAAAAGGTTAGTCAAAGATTTTATTTTTGTAGAAATATGATCCCTTTAAAAAACGTTTATTAAGTTACATTTTACAATTTTTTTTTAAATGCTTTTGAAAACTATTTACTTTGAAACATTTTTGCTTCAATCTGTCTTGACAATTTTATCTCTTTATTTTAGGTTTTTTTTTCCGTTAGTCGGATGTATGGCTGTGTGCGTCCTCGTACTTTTTGTGTGTCTTTTATTGTGGTTGTATAAGAAAATGACTTTGAAAAAAATATCTGACACAACAATTTTTGAGCATAATAAACTTATAAAAGAAAATTTGAAAAAAGGAATTTTTTTTCATAATTTGAAAAAATTTGACAAAAATTGAAGTGTAATATTTGTATATTAATATAAATTTTATTTATGTGAATTTGATCTTAAAATATATTAAATAATTTGCGCCCTTGTTAACAATTTGTTGAAATTACCAAATAAGATTATTATTACTTAAAGTTTGTTCTTTTACTATAGGTAAAAAGTCCATAAAATGTAAAATCTATTTCAGAATACATTTGGCTTTATTTGATAACATTTATATTTAAATTTAAATTAATATTAAATATTATATTGAAGTAAAATAGTAAATACAGGCGCAGATGCAACAATTTTTTGATGTTTGAGATAACTAACTTCCAGACATGGAGCGAACTCGAAACGTTTATATTTTTATAATTATATCAAATAAAAATGCTTTGCAAAAAATTGCGATGTAAGAGCCTGGAAACAAAAAAGCCCAAAGTCTTAGCTACACCTGCCTCAAACGTGAGAGCAACAAGCTGATACAATATCTTTTTTTTTTACTATTCTTAATTAAATCTATATTCATCAATAAATTTTGAAATTGATATAAAAATCTTTTAGCTTTCAAAAGTTATGACCATATAAAGTTTTAACCTCCCTCAATTTGAGGGGGTCACAAATTTTTTGAGGCCATCATGTTGAACGCTAAGAGACTACTTTATGAAATTAAAAATTTCTTGTTGAATATAGATTTACTTGAGAATAGATATTTATTAATAAATATTCAACAAATATTTATTAATAACAAAATATTATAATGGGTATTTTATCTTAAATATAATAAATTATATTTAAGATAAAATACCAGTAATAACTTTATATTATATATCCCTAATCATTTTTCTTCACTCCTTGACTTATGTCTTGTCTCTGACCCTAGCTTATGCTCAGTTTCTCCCTTTTCTCCCTTAGGTGGTTCTGACCATGCAATGATCTCTATTAATCTTTCCTCTCGTACTTCTTTTTCGGGCTCACCATCGCACCACCTACTACTACCCTAGGCTGACTGGGATTCTTTTCGTGATTTTCTTCGTGATGGTCCTTGGGCTGATGTTTTTTCTCTCCCAGCTGATAAATGCGCCTCCTACGTAACCTCCTGGATTCAGGCTGGAATGGAAGCTTTTATTCCTTCTCGTCGGTTTCAAGTCGAGCCTCATTCTACTCCATGGTTTTCTCCTTCTTGTGTTGCTGCTATATCCAATCGTAATCTTTTTTTTCATCTTTTTCAAAAGAACAACTCTCTTGGGAACAAACGGCTATTTATTATTGCAAGAAATCGATGTAAAAAGGTGCTTTCTGATGCTAAACACCATTATTCTCAGTTCACTAAATCTCGCATCTTATCACAGAAGTTAGGCTCAAAAGACTTTTGGAAAATCTTCAACAGCATTATTAACAAGGGTTAGATCTAACATTCCATCTCTCATTCATGGGACTGATCTTATTACTTCTCCCAAGGATAAGGCATAACTATTTGTAAAGAACTTTTCTTCTAATTCCACTCTTGAATCTTATGGACATTCTCTTCCTTCCATTCCAGTCAAACAGGTTGACCCATTGTTAGACATTCAAATCACTCCGGCTTCCGTTGCTAAAGTCATATCTCAGTTAAACTCGTCTACAGCTTGTGGTCCTGACAACATTCCTGTCACAGTCTTGCAGAATTGTTCTTTAGAACTTTCTTCAATTCTCTCTAAACTATTTAATAAGTGTTTGACTGAGTCTTGTTTTCCTGCTTGTTGGAAAATGGCATCTGTGGTTCCAATATTCAAAAACTCTGGGGAAAATTCTGACCCCTCCAATTATTGTCCGATCAGTCTTCTTTCTGTCATTAGCAAGGTCTTTGAATCTTTGATCAACAAATTCCTCACACCTCATCTTGAGTCAAATAAACTACTGTCCGACAATCAATACAGTTTTTGATCCTCTCGCTCTACAGTTGACTTGCTAACTGCTGTAACTGAAAGATTTTATCGTGCATTAGGTGGAGGCGGTGAGGCTTGGGCTGTTGCTCTCGACATATCTAAAGCTTTTGACAAGGTTTGGCATGCTGGTCTTCTCCATAAGCTTGTTTCATATGGTGTTTCTGGGAAAGTTTTTGAGATTATCAAATCATTTTTTTCTAACCGCTTTATTAAAGTCATCCTTGAAGGCCAACACTCTTCTTTATTTCCAGTAACTTCTGGGGTACCCCAAGGTTCCATCCTGGGCCCTGTTTTGTTTCTTATCTACATAAACGATCTTCCTGACAACCTTACATCTAAAGTAGCTCTTTTTGCTGATGACTCAACTTTATACTCCTGTCTTGACAAAAAATCTTCTCTTTTCGATCGCCTAGAACAAGCAGCTGATCTTGAATCCAATCTCACTTCTGTAATAGATTGGGGTTCACAGTGGCTTGCGAATTTCAACTCTAACAAAACCCAGTTGTTTACTGCAAACAACTATCATAATATGGTCAACATTCCTATACTAATGAATGGCAATCCTCTTACTGAGTCCTCCTCTTTACGTCTTTTTGGATTATCGTTTACTACTGATCTTTCATGGAAACCATATATACAATCAATTGCTAAATTAGCTTCTGCTAAGGTTGCTTCTCTTTATCGTGCTCGCCATTTCCTTACTTCTGATTCCATTCTCTACCTCTACAAATCTCTTATTCGTCCCTGTATGGAATACTGTTGTCATACTTAGGCTGGTTCTTCTAACGATGCTCTTTCTCTTCTTGACAAGGTCCAAAAACGCATTGTAAACGTTGTTGGACCTGAACTATCTGCTAAGCTTGAGCCTCTTTCCCATCGTCGTAAAGTTGCATCTCTTTCTCTTTTCTACAAATACTATCATGGTCACTGCTCAAAGGAGTTATCATCTCTAGTTCCATCAACTAAAATTTATTCTCGTTTTACTCGTCATTCAGCTAAGTCTCATTCGTTTACTGTATCTGTCCCTGCATGCTCTAAAAATTTTTATTCATCTAGTTTTTTTCACCGCACTTCAATCCTTTGGAACTCTCTCCCATCTTCATGTTTTCCTGACTTATACAACGTTCAACTTTTCAAGTCTTCTGTCAACCGTTTCCTTGCTCTATAACTGTTCTTTTTTTCTTTTTTCTAGTAACTCCCAACTTAATAGTGGTTGCTTGCAGCCTTGTTGGGAGTGAATGCAAATAAAATAAATAAAATATTACTTTAAATTTACCTTTTTATTTAAATTCTCTGAATAAGTACATTTTATAAAAATTTAAAGTTACCTAATTAGAGGGTAAAAGGGGTAAGGAATAAAAGTGCTGTTACCCCTAAAAATTGTTAATGTTACCCCTAATGTCTGTATGTAGCTGCTTCCTGAATTGTTACCTTTGTATGACTATAATTTTAGATAATTAGATTCACAAGATTTAATTATTTTAAATTATATTTATACTCCAAACTTTAGCTGAAAAGCTTCGGCTTCGGCAAAGTGGTTCGGCAGAAGCTTCGGCAAAGTGGTTCGGCAGAAGCTTCGGCAATTTGCAAATTCTTGGCTTCGGTATATCCCTATTAATAACATTCTACATGGCGTAATCGGGTCTAAAAACTGTTAAAACAGTGTTTCCTTTTTTGTTTCTAAGGTGAGAAAATTTTTTGCCATTATGAATATAAAATAAAAATATGATCATTGTATGCTGTCTTATATTTGATATCTAGCGTTTGCGCGAGATTCACCCAATCTTCAAATCGCTCCACACATTCAACAACTCTTCTCCTGTCATTTGGAGAAGATAAAACGTAACGTTTCCTTTCAACTTGTTCAGTTGTGTGTATTTCATGCCGACAAATCGGACAACTTGAATCTGGTTGTTCCAAAACTGGGCGTAAACAAATTTGGTGACATAAACGTTGACACGGATTTAGCTTAATCACAGACTTTCGGGTCATAGTGTATTGGCATATAACACAACGATCTTTCAATTCCATTATTATTACTTGTGCATACAAAAGCAAAATTTAAGATTATAACTTAAATTCATGTCAAAAAAGACCTTTTGTAACAACCTACAAACTTAGACTGTGAATTTGCTATTTTAATTTATGTGTTCTCAATTACAAGTTACGATTTCTCAATTACATATTATGATTTCTCAATTATATCTTACGTTTTCTCAATTACATGTTGTGTTTCTTAATTACATGTTACGACTTCTTATTTACATGTTGTGTTTCTCAATTACATATAACGTTTTCTCAATTACATGTTGTGTTTCTTAATTACATATTACGACTTCTTAATTACAACTTTCATGTTCTCATTTACATCTTGAAAAGGTGTGGAGGAGCAAAGATTTATAAAGTTTGACTTGAAGTGTAAATAAAAGAAGGACTTGTTTTTATTGACAATGTTAACACAGACATTCTAACAAAAGAAAAAAACAGCTTATTTGTTTAGGCTAGACTGAAAAAGATATAATAAAATCACCACACGTCTAAATGAAAATAAAAATGAAAATAAAAATGGACAACGCTCTTTATTAACTTCTAATGCCAAAGTTACTTTTAGAAGAGTTCATGTCCAAATTAACTAACTTGAAGTGTTTATAGGTAAGATGGACTGAAATGACCTTTTGAGAACGCAGTATTACTTAACTCACATCTGGATTTAGCAAAACATAATTAGTTCTTAAGAAAGTTAACTAGGTAAATCAAAGTTTTTCAAGCCTCTAGGATGATTTTAATAAAAGGTTGTGATTTTACATTATAATGATTTACAAGTGTTTGTGTTTTGGTTGGCGTTAGAATAGAGTAATCTTGCTTGAGCAGCAACAGTGGTGTTGTTTGGATAAAAGAGAAATTGCTGGAATATTTTAACTCTAGGAAAGAAGCTATAGCTTTTTTGAAGGATCATCAAAAAGATCAGCTTAAAGAAAACAACAGTATTTTATAAAAGAACTGAGTCTAACTGATGGAGAATGTAATCAGTGGAAAATACATGTTAGATAGTTTTTTAACTAGATCGTCAGAAAAGGCTTTTTGGGATCACAATATCACTTTACTAGAGCTGGATTTATCAGATTTCAACAGTATTATTGTTTAAGTATACTGGCTATGTAAATAAACGCTTTTTAGGCATGAAAATTGAT